GGCACCAGTTCAGAGCTATATTCGATAACACCCTATAACTTTCAAAGGCCCATTTCCAAATTGTTTTAATTAGCAGACATGACCACCAGATATGTATAAAAGTGCCCGCAGGATTTCCACACCTCCAACAGTTTGACATATAGTTAGGATACATTTTAGATAATCTAGATGGAACCAAAATAAAACTGGACTTATCAGTCTAAGGCAGTACAGTATTTAGACTAAGTCCCTTTTTATTTTGCTTTTATGTATTCTTATTCACCTTTGATTTTATATTATTAAAAAATGGATTTTAGTACTATTTGGTAGCCTGTCCGATTCCAGGTTTCAGATTTGGGAGTGTCACCCCACAAATTGACACCAGGCATTTACACCTGAGAGTCAAAGCACATATGGGCTCTTATTAAGATGAGACTCCTCCTTTATGAAGTGATTTTGGCTTATTATAAACACAGACATACTGCACCATAATCTCCCATGTTTTGCTTGGCTTGAGATTCCTGTTTATCCAAGAAGGTAGTGTGCTACCTATAATAGCACAGCTGCTTTATTATAGAGCCTTATCCTCAGGCTCTGAAGATTGTGAGTGTGTCTGCCTTTATTTATTTTGCATCTAGTATATTGCAAGTACCATCTGCACTAGATTTGTTTTATGTTTTTTTTCACTTTCATGTATCACTTCCCATCGAGATTTATATTATCATACAGAGGGGTAAGCTAACATCTGCTTGTCTATTAATCAGCGCTCAACCCACTGATTATAGGGTTTATCCTGTTAATCATTTTTCTCTTCACGGATGTTTAAGAGCAGCTATTCACACATTGATTTTGAAGCGCTACTTACTGTTCACATGGAGCTCACTTGTGAGTCACTTCTGCTACAAGGAAGAGAATTTATTGGTGATGTTAGAGAAATCAAAGTATCGTCAGCATATAAAGAAATCTTAATATCTTGTTCTTTAACACAAAAACCTTTTATCTCCTTATTCTCTCTGTTTATCGCAAAAGGATGAACCGACAAGATATACAACAGGGACAGGGGACATCCCTGTCTCGTACCATTTCTTAAGTTGAACCATCCTGCACAAATATTAGCGCCTATGGTTTTAGCTGAGGGGTTAGAGTACAGTGACATTATGGCTCCATGAAACCATCCCTCCAGACGACAAGATTTTAAAACATTATCTAGGTAACCCCAGCTGACCCTGTCAAAGGCTTTTTCAGCATCTAACAACAGGGCCAGCTAGACTGACCCAATATGTCCAAAATTCTTCTAGTGCAATTACTTGAACATCTGTCCGGTATGAAACCTATTTGGTCTAAATGTACAAATTTTTTTGTTTAATCCGTTCTGCCAATATGGAGGCATATATTTTCATATGGTTGTTAATTAATGATATTGGCCTATAATCACTCACATCTGTTGAATTTTTGTTGGGTTTTAGTATCGGCAAAAGATTTGCTTGCAATAACTCTTTCGGGTATTTTTTTTTAACTTGTAGCGATATCATTGAGCAACGCCGTCAGGGGTTGAATAAGTGCTGTTTTAAATATTTTATAATAAAGATTACTAAATCCATCTGGGCCTGGTGTTTTACAGGTACTTAATTTTTCTATTTCTTTATCAATTTCATTAGAAATAATCTGTACATTTAATGTTTGAAGATCAGATGGTAAGATTTTAGGGATATTCGATTTTTTAAAAATAATTTTTAATTTCTACTTCGTCACGTGAAAGCCCAAGGTTATATAACTTATTGTAATAGTCATTGAATTTTTTACCTGTTGTATCTGGAGTTGAATACATTTTATGATATTCTATTAATTTGTCTATCCTATTTTTTTTTTCATTCAGTTTTTTGTCATTTTATTTGTAAGATTTTTACTTGCTCTGTTCCCTTAGTAATAGTTGGTTAATCTAAGTTTATTTAATGTTATATTAATATGTTCTTCTAATTTTAGATTAATTTTATTTTGTAGATTTTGTCCGTTAAGGTTTGACAAATTAAAAAAGATATATGTAGGTCTGCTAAATCTTTACCTTTATTTTTTCTATAGATGTTTTCCATTTTTATTAAATAGCCACTCATGACTGCCTTATACGAACACCAGATTACAGAGTTAGATAGTTCTGTCGTATTATTTTCCTTATAAAAAAAGTGATAGTTTAATTAGTTCATCTTTATTCATTTTTTCATTTTAATTATTGCATCATCCAGTCTCCATGTAGATCTACCCATAATTGGAGATTTACCAAACTCTACTATAACAAAGCTATGGCCTGACCATGTATTGTCTTTAATTTGAATTTGATTTATTTTACATATAGAGTTTGCCTTCACCAGGCACATATCAATTCTTGAGTATGTACCACCACTTTTGATAGGTGAGTATAATCTCTCCTTTCTAGGTGCATGGTTCTCCAAGCATCGTATAATTCAAATCTTCTGCAGATACCATTTAGTTTTGTTGACTGTCTTATATTCTATTTATCAGTTTTAGAGTGTATACAGTCTGTTTTATCTATATTATGATCTATAACACGGTTGAAATCACCAGCAATAATTAGTGTATCTTTGTTTATTTTTTTTAACTCTGTCTATTATTTTTGATAGTAAGGCCGTAGGATTTATGTTTGGCAAATATACATTAACCTGTGTATATATCTCCTTCTCTATCCTACAAATCACGATCAAGGACCTTGCTTCTGGATCACTATCTTGATACATTATTTCTGTGTTTAAGTCATTTGAAAAAACGATTGCCAGTCCCCCTTTTTTTTTTTTTTTCTAAAGATGCTTGTAAAATAATTGGTAATTTGCTGCCTCCCCATTTCTGTATATCAGCTTTTTTCCAGTGGGTTTTCTGTATGAAGCCTGCTTGGATTTTTTCAGTACAGAAGGAGTTATATATCATTTGTATTTTTGTTACCGTGTTTAAACCTTGCGCATGTTTCCCTCTGAATTTAAACTCCTGATCTGTTTACAAAAAAACATATATTCAAACATTTAACGTAAATTGGATAGCTAATTACTAGTTCTTCAGATGTAAATGACATAAAACATATAGTGAAAAAAGTTTCCATAATATTCCTAACACTCAATTGAGCTTATGAAAACTATGTGGAATTAACACACATGGTGAGGTGCTTGTTGTTATCGTGTTTCCTTCCTCATTTAGAATATATTACTGGTGGGGACAATTAAAATAACATCATACTTAATTAGAGGGTTATCTCTTATTATCCCATCCATTTCTTAAAGTAGGTTATAACATTATAAATTATATTTTTCTAGTTCCACAGGAGAGAGAAACATTTTTTAAAAAATTTCAAATTTATCACCTTATTTTCCTTTACAGTAATCTTTATCTGTTCCCGCATTATATATCGTCACTATTAAGTGTGATTATTTGTATAAGAGATATAATATCTTGTGAATAATTTATAAATCATTAATTAAATCTATTATACTAACTTGTATTTATTTTCTACATTTATGGATTCCTGAGATATCTTCTGTCTTAATCTGTGTAATATATCTCAGTAACACTTCGATCATATTAAATACTTAATTATTTTGTTACATATTTTAATACTATTTTACTTGACCCCTATACCGTTTTAATTCTTTGATTTCTATTTCAATATACAATTTATCTTATATACAGTGTGACAACAGAATATCTAATATAATATAATATATACTTATATGCCTAGACGATATAATTTGCTCTTTTTGCATTTTATTGTAGGATGAAACACATCCAAGATCTGTTTATTATTCTCTCTTTGACTTTATACAGTTTTATATGCTCATAATAGATGCAGATTTTTTTATTCTTTGATTTTCCCTTAATTGCTTGCTGAATTCCAGTCAGACTTAACTTCTTATTTTCTTAGATTAGCACTTTTCGGTTAGTCTATTACTAATGTTAAGTTGCCAGCATGCCTTAAATTTTTATTTAAATTAGGACCTTTCTCTTTGTTACTTTCTTTTTGCCTTTATACCATCCTGTTAGAAATACAAATCTTTGATCCTTCGTTTTTCCCTCAATTATTTGCTGAGTTAAGATTTTGTTTTCTTATCTTAACACCTTAAATTGGTGTCTTGCTATAATCACTTGACACCAAACCTTGGTTCTTGTATTGTTTATAACATTAACAAAGAATATACCGAAAGATAAGTCAAAGTAATATCTTATTAAACTGAGTGGGACTCACCCCAAGCATAGCCTTAAGTCTACTCTAATTGATTGCTGTGGTTCTGTTTTAAAACTTTGAGACATTCAACTTGTCAATGCATCGCACACAACAGCCTCAAGCCTTCTCTTATTGTACATAAATATTTAGATTTTAGAGCTTTTCAAGATATTTGAGATAGGTCTTTGTTCCTTATTACTTTCTTTTTGCCTTTATATCATTTTATATCCAGTTAGCAAAGACATTAGCAAAGACATCTCTGTAATCCTTTGCTTTTCCCTCAATTGCTTATTGAATTAAGCTTTTATTTTCTTATCTTGAAACCTTTAATTAGTGTGTTGTAAATACGCCTATTTTTTTATTTCAGTCTGTGACGAAGTGCCCTTTGCCACTTGGTCCTGGAGAAGCCTGCTTGCCAGCCTCCTCCCCTGTGACTATGACTCTTTGATGTATTTGGATTTAAAACCCCTATTCTACCTTCAGACAGACTATTTATGTAGGTTGCTTTATTTCTCTTATGTTTTAGTCACCCTGTACCCATTACTGGTGCAGGTTGTGTGTAATGTAATTGTTTATAGTGTGTGTGTGTGTGTACTGTATAATGTATTGCCTGCTCTCCTGTACTGCTGAGGTTTGCTACCAACTAGGTGGGTTTGGCTATTGAGCTTGTCTAGTGCCCTCTGTTGGTAGCAACAGCAATATGCACTACCTGAATAGCAAGACTGGTTTATTTGCATATTCAGGTAGATTTGCATATTGCTAATTCTGCAGACACGTGAGATATTTTCTGTTAAATATTGTCTCCCCCACCCCTTTAAAAATGTGCCATTGTGTTGTGATAAGTCACTGTGTGTTGCCTGCTATGGTTTGACTGTTTGTGATTTTATTGAGTTTTCACATCAATGTTAATGTTCTGACCCTATGGGCTGGTCCCAAGGGAAATAAAGGTTTAGACAGTTCTTCTTGATCCCTCTAAACGTAGCCTCGTCTCGTTATTGGAGGGAGCTGTTATAATCACACTGGGGATTGCTATGCTCTGCATGCTCCCCTTAGCTCTTTTAAGAGCTTGTTCCTGACACGCTCTCCTTGGAGGAGGGGTCTTCACCACACAGTCCTGGATGTTGGAGGTTCATACAGAGTGGAAGGAAGAGTTCTTTCCCACACAGTCCTGGAGGACAGAAGCTGATCCAGGGTGGAAGGAAGACGGCGAGACTCCAGTCAAGATACAGCGGTTGTGGAGTCTGCGGTGGTTGTGGTGTCTGCTGCAGTGTCTGGAGTCCTCAGGAAGTGCTAGGGGCATCCTTCAACGGAGGTACCCAGTCGGGGTGCCAGGTGATCCGTTACACAGTCTATTTGAGAGAACGTGTTTTGTAGAGATTCATTGGAGTTCCTTCGATTCACTTTTTTGATGTATCTAAGGTGGCTGCATCTGTTTCATTAAACATGGTTGTATATGTGTGCATGACATTGGCCTGTAGCTGCTCTACGGGTGACAAATCTTTGTGTTCTGTCAAGCCTGTCTCACCTGGGCTAGGTGCAGGTGATGACTACTCTTTTGAGTGTGCATTCTTAATATATACCACATTGTGAATTTCACTGTACAGCTACACTATCTTTTTTATGTTTGCGTTTTTTGGAGATTGTATTGACACATTTTTGGCATAAATGAAGACAACTCTCTATGAAGTATTTAAAATTTTCTTCTTTTTTTTTCCAATTTGACAATTTTTATTATTTTTGGGGTACAGAATGAAAAAGGGGCGAGGGGGTAAAATGCATAGAATGTATACAGTACTGTCGTCTCACCAGTGTGGATTATATTACTATAAATGTATTACACTTTATGGTCACTATCACCAGTATTATCCAACATTTTAACTTGTACCTCGTGTGACAATCACTTCTCCTAGATCCCCTGGTGACCTACTCAATTCCCTCCTATGTGGATCAGTGTGTCTCATCTGCTATTAGGGTCCGTGGCGTGAGAACATGTAATATATATGTGGGCAGCTGCCCAGGTTATCATACTAATGTATCTACCCGTTTCCCTGATTATAGCCTGGTTGTCAATGTTGGGTGTTGTGATGGCTCTCATTGAGCATGGCTTTGTTCCACGGGTGTCTTGTAGCATGGGCCTAGGTGGGTTTTGGGAAGAGGCGCGGAGAGGGCGTCTGCGGACTCAGGGACAAAAATCGTTATTTATTTATTAAATTTTTATTTTCTATATATTTATTTTTTGGTTTTTTTAAATTCCAGTCAAGTCGTGGGTTGTGCTAGATATTTTCCCCATTTCACTTTGATGTCTGTTATATATTTCCCTGATCTGAGGTGTTTTCTTGCCAAATGTTCATAGTCTAAGTTAACTGTGATTTGCTGTAACAGGGCGCCCCATGATTGGGCATCTTCCTCCCCCCATGCTCTTGCTATTAGTGTGACAGCTGCCATCAGGACATGGAACACTAGTATGGAGTTGTTGAATTCCTTTAGTCCCATAAATAAAAGCCTGAGTTTGGGTTTAAGTGTAAAGTCCATGTAGTCTGCAATCAGTTTCTCCACATTGGTCCAGTATGGTGGGAGGTGCATTGTTCCCCTGGCTGTGCCGCATCTCCAACATCTGTCGGTAGTACCGGCGTATATGCATGCTAGTCTTTTAGGCACCATGTACCATCTGTAGCCTGTTTTCCTGATTTATTCTATGTGTGTGGCACATATTTTCCTACCTCTATGGGCTGTAAAGGATTGTCTCCATTGGTTTTCGGCAATACTATACTGTAGATCCAAGCCTGTTGTTGTGCTTATGGTGGAGATGTGGTATGGTTAAGTAGCGCTTTATAGCAGAGGGACATCGTCTTCTTTGGAGTGGCGTGGATAAGAAATGTTTTTTCGAATGGAGTTGTGGTACCCGGTGGGTCGCTAATCTATAAATAGAAATAGAAAAATAGTTGGTTGCACTCTCGGAATTCCATCAAAATATAACTTTTATTCCAGCTTCTAAAACAGATCAACGTTTCCATTAAACATTTCCATTAAAATATAACATTTATCCCAGCTTCTAAAACAGATCAACGTTTCAGTCCATCTTGTGGACTTTCATCAGGATCCTGATGAAAGTCCACAAGATGGACTGAAACGTTGATCTGTTTTAGAAGCTGGAATAAAAGTTATATTTTAATGGAATTCCGAGAGTGCAACCAACTATTTTTCTATTTTGATATTTAAGCCATGGTACTGCACCCGGTTTAGAAAATTTTGGAGCCTGAGTGCAAGGTACAGTCTACCTTTTTATATATATATATATATAAAAAAAAGAAAAGATATATATATATATATATATATATATATATTTTATTGGTATATTTCTTTTTTTAATTCAAAATATTAGTCCTTTCAGGGTAATTAAATTATACAGTAAAGCATACTCACATGAAGACACGGACAATCTTACTGATGCACACAAATAGGCTCATTGACAGATAATCGCAATAACACACACAGACAAGGTTACTGGTACACACACAAATTTAGTACAGACAAACTCTGATACACACACACGCTCACTACAGACAAGCTCACTGTCACACACACACGCTCACTACAGACAAGCTCACTGATGCGCACACACTCTCCCTACAGACAAGCCCATTGACACACACATGCTCCCTACAGAAGAGCTCACTAACACACATATTCACTACAGACAAGCTCACTGACACACACATGCTCACTACAGACCAGCTCACTGATACACATATGGTCACTACAGACAAGCTCACAATCACACACATGCTTACTACAAACAAGCTCACTGCACACACATGCTCACCACAGACAGGCTCAGACACACCCATGCTCCCTACAGACAAGCTCACTAACACACACATGATCCCTATAGATAAGCTCACTGACATACATACAAGCTCACTCACTAGCAGACACACAGAACTCCCTCACTAGCAGATGCACACACAAACACACAGAAGCTCACTCACTAGCAGATGCGCGCGCACACACACACACACACACACACACAGAAGCTCACTCACTCACTAGCAGATGCACACACACAGAGACAGGCAGCCAGCCACACACAGACAGCAACACACACAGGCAGACAGTCACACACACTCACACACAGGCAGACACTCACACACACACAGGCAGACAGTCACACACACACACACACACACTGACCTGCTTCTTACCTCCACATCCCTTGGAGATCCTGAAGACTGGTTGTTGGGGAAGCAGGGACTCCTTCCTGCTTCCCATGCTGCAGTTACCCTGGTCATTTAGCCCTGCCCCCGCCACACAGTAAGCTTCGCAACGCCGCATGCTAAGCTCTGCCCCACCGCAATATTGTATTTTTTTTATAATCCCGACAGGCCATATGCGAGCTGTGTCGGCTGCCTGGTGCCCCCTGCTCCCATGGGGCCCTGTGCAGTCGCACAGATGGTACATGGCCGGACGGGATTACAGGAGCCTGATCAATGATGATTAGGGCTGTCAGCCCAGGCCCAGGTGCCGTGGCCTACTGGGAAATTTCCCGGTATCCAGGTGGGCTAGTCCGGCCCACATGCGATGGTCAAATGTTGGATATGCTACCTGTACGCTATAGATGGGCGTTACGGGTGACCACGGTGCGCTAGAACACATCCCATGGCGAACCAAGTCCCAGTCTTTGAGCAGCAAGTCTGTGGTTGGTAGTATCAATTCCAACTTCGGTCTGTGCTGCTTGGGTATCCAAAATAAATATTTCAGTTCAGTTCGTCGTGCCCAGTGAGACATTGCGGTGGTCGCTGCTCGTCATGGGTTGTCAGGATAGATGACAAAATGGCCGCTGTATAGTGTAGTCGGATGTTGGATAAACCCAGCCCTCCCTCGTCAACCGGGCATTGTAAAATTTTGGTCGCTACTCTTATTCTCTTTTTTACCCAGACAAATTGTACTATCTGCCTTTGGACATTGTCTAGGAAGGACATAGGTAGCTTAATTTGTAAGGTCCTGAAAAGGTATTGGCGTTCATTGCTGCAATTCTGACTCTCCATGTCAACTATTTGCCTTCCCAGTTTCGTAGTGTGGCAGTCAGCTCCATTCTTAATGCTTCATAGTTCGATTGGCATAGGTTATCTAAATTTAGGTGACGTGGTTATCCCTCCAGTCCAGAGCAAAGATTTCCTTGAGGGCTCCTAGTGTGCTCACCTTCATTCCTACCCCCATGGTCTGAGTCTTGAGCACATTAAGTTTATAACATGAATTTTCTCCATAAACCACAAATTCGTTTAGGAGATTAGGTAGGAATATTTGGGGTTGTGTAAGGGTTAGCAGTACATTGTCTGCAAAGAGGTTAGCTTTATATTCTGTGTCTCCGATACGGATATCCCGTATGGATTCGTTTTGCCTTATGCAGTGTGCCAGTGGCTCTAATGCCATTACGTACAACAGTGGGGACAGCGGACATCCCTGTCTCGTCCCATTGGTGATTTGAAGTGGCTCCGAAAGAAACCCGGCGTTTAGTACTTGGGCTAGCGGTGAATTGTATAGTGCCAGAAATTTCCAATGCAGGTGGTAAAACGCTCTCTTCGCGTCTAGGGATACCAGGAGTCCTCCCGCCATCTTAAGCCGGTTAAGGCTATACAATATGTCCAGAACATTGCGTGTGTTTTCTGGCCCCTGTCTCCCAGCCACGAAGCCCACCTGATCAGTATGTATTATGTGAGGCAGGAGGGTCCCCAGTCTAGTGGCCAATCTAGAGTTTTTGCAAAGATTTTGGCGTCGGTATTCAGCAATGATATGGGTCTAAAATTTTGGGGGCGGGTAGGGGGTTTGCCTGGTTTTGGTAGGGTTATTATATGTGCCGCAAGCATGTCTTTGTGTAGTGTATGATTCGCGATTGTGTCTCTAAAGTTTTTGGCGAGGTGCGAGATCAGGGTAGTGGTAAAGGTCTTATAATACAGGTTGTCAAAGCCAGGCCTGGGTGATTTGCCCAGGGGGAGGGCTTTTATTGCAGCTGTGATCTCGTCCTCTGTAATTTCATTGGTGAGTGTTGCACTTTGTTGTGGTGTTCGCTCAGGGAGGTCTATCGTGTCTAAATAGGTGTCAATGGTGTCCGTGAGCGGTTGTCGCGTGTTTGGGTCATCTTTTAGGTTGTAGAGGGTGGTGTAATAACCAGCAAAGTCGTCTCTAATTTCTTTGGGAATCATAATTTTCTCCACAGTGTTTGATACCAAGTACGCTATCTTTTGTTGCGCTTGTTTGGCCTTGAGGTTATGTGCAAGTACTCTGCCTGGTTTGTTTCCCTGGGCGTAGAAGGTAGCCCTAATTTTTCGTAGGTATAGCCCTGTTTTATCTAGGGCATGCTGGTGTAGATTCCTAGTGACTTGGGCAATTTTAGATTCTAAGTCTTGTGATGGGTTAACCTGGTTGTGGGCGTTCAGGTGGTATAGTTCCTTCTGCCACTTTTGAAATTGTTGTCGTGCCTGTTTGCGCAGGTACGATGATTTGCTTATAAGGATTCCCCTAGCTATAGCTTTGTGCGCAACCCATAGAGTACTGGGGGAGATTCCTGGTGTGTCATTCTCTGTAAAGTAGTGTTGGAGTGCGCTCCGCTGTTCGTGTGTAAAAGTGGTGTCTTGGAGCATTGTGGATTCTCCAGGGGCTCCGGTGTGTAAAGTCATATTGGTCCTTAAGTTCCAGTGTGACTATCGCATGGTCCGAACATGTTATGTCTCCTACGTCACATTTCGCTACCTGAGACAGGGCAGTCCCGTGCATTAAGAACCCATCTATCCTTAAGTATGAGTTGTGCACTGGGGAGAAGTGGGTGTAAGCGCGTTCGCTCATATGTGTAATTCTCCAAATGTCATACATGTGGTGGAAGGAAAGAAGTTTTTGCAGCTGTTTACATTGTTTCTAAAGGGTCTTAAATCAGTTGCTATGGATAGATAAGGTTGTGTCAACAGTGAGATCAAGGACGTGGTTAAAGTCGCCACATATGATCGTTATCCCCCACTGTATGCATGACAGTCTTTGTAGTATGCTACGTAAGAAGTTTTTTCTGGTTGTTGTTTGGTGCATAGATGTTAGCAATTTTGTTGAAGAGACCCGTGATTATGACGTATCGTCCCTGGTCATCTATTTCTTCCGCTTGTAGTATAAAGGCTATGGAATTGCTGATCAGTATTGTGACGAAATGCATTTCGCCACAAGCGTTTGGAGGGGCCTGATTGCCAGCCTCTTCCCCCAGGATTATGACCCATGCGCTAAAACTTTGTCCCCAGACGGTGTTAATAGGTCCCCTCCACCCTCATGGCCCCCCTCTCGCCGGGCTCTAGGGGGAAGAAGGGGTTAAACACTTACCTTTCTCCAGCGCTGCGGACTCTCCTCCCTCTTCCGCCGAATGCGCATGCCATAGGAAAGCATTCTCAATCTTATCTGAAAATCACAGTGAGAAAGACCATTGAGACAACTTTAACCCCATGGCGATCCAACTGTATTTGTGAGATCTGAGCGCTTTTCGGACATATTGAGCGCTTAGATCCAAGTTGTCTGGGGATATGTTGGACATATAGGTTAAACATTGTATTATATGAGTTATGTATTTTTATGTGTTTTTTGTTGACACTATTTTGACTAATAATTAAGTTACCACAGCCAC